GCGTTTGTACAACCTGAACCAGCACAAGAGACAAGTCAATGCTGCGTCGGCTCTGCGTCGGCGCAGTCAGGACGAGGGGTGGGAGGATGATGAGGCTTGCGTTTAACGCGGCATCTACTGACGAGGTGATTGCCTCGCCATCTTAAGCAACTGACCCCTGGCGGTGGCTAACGCTAGCATGCGACACCCTGGGGGCAGGAACTCGATCGGAGTCGCATCGCTCCACGAGGTATACGCGGGCAGCAGTGGCCAACGGACCTTTTCAAATTTGGGTTTAGGTTTTTCGGTCTTGAGCGTCCAATCTTAAGGTTCACAGGAGGGGAGGAGGGAGAGAAGGGGGAGGGGGGAGGGACGGGGCGGGGAGGAAGGGCGAGGAAAGGGGGGGGGATCGGGGCAGGCGCTGCCGTGCCCAGGGCGTCGTGCTCTTGTTCCTCGCCGTAGCCTTCTCGTCCTTCTTTTCCATATCGCCCTTCCCCTCCGACGCATCATCCTTCGCCTTCTTTTCTTTTTTCTCTGCCTTCTTCACCTTCCTCGCGGCCTCCCGATCTTTGAACTCGCGAAGGGTTTTGACCAGCCTGTCGTTTGTCTCGTTCAACTTTTTGTTGCGTTCAGCCATCCACGTGTTCTGCCGACACAGACGGGTGTTGTCGTTATACTGCTGAGTGTTGTCCTGCCGCAGCTGATTGTTTTCCGTGATGAGGGCGGTGTTTGCCTTCGCCCTTCCTCGTCCTCCTCCTCCTCCTCCTCCGCCTCCTCCTCCTCATCCTATCCTCATCCTCCTCCTCCTCATCCTATCCTCCTCCTCCTCCTCCTTCTCCTCATTATCCTCATATCCTCCTATCCTCCTCCTCCTCCTCCTCGTCCTCCTCCACCTCCCCGTTTGAAAACAAGTCGGTTGATTCAAACACTGTGTTTGTTTTCAAAGTGCAACCTCCCCCTCCTCCTCCTCCTCCTCCTCCTCCTCCTCATCCTCCTCATCCTCCTCCTCCTCCTCCTCATCCTCCTCCTCCCTCCTCCTCCCTCCTCCTCCTCCCCTCCTCCCTCGTCCCTCCTGCCTAATGCCTCATCCTCATCCCTTCCCCCCTCCCACGACACCCTCCCCTTCCCTGCCTGGTCGAGCCGTATGATCTCGCTCTGAGCGTCGTGAAGTTGGCGAAGCACGCTGTGCTCGGACATGGATGCGCTCATGGGCCCGACGTTCGAAGAGGAGCAGGAGGGGGGACATCCACCAGGGGGGGGGGGAGGGATGCGGAACGAGGGAAGCTGGAATACCATGAGGATGAGCAGGATGTCCTCCCTCATGTGGGGCTGGCGGGGGGAGGGGGATCGTGCGCCCGCGGGGCACGCTAGCATGGCACGCACACCTCCCCCACCGCAGTTGCACAACTGTGTCGCTGACGGCGGCTGATGGGGATGGGTGGGGGTGTGCGTCGGCCTTGCTGGGGCACTACCGCGGGAGCACTGCCTCCCGTCCCCATTCAGCACCCGAAACACTTCGCGTGCTGGGGTGCGCGGAACCGCTGACTATTCTCGAACGTTGCCACGCCTGCGAGCCCAATGCCTCGTGATCCGTGCGACCGCTGCCCAAGCGGCCCCAATGGGCCCCGATGATGGGCCCTTTTGGAGCCGCCTTGGGCCCCCCTTGGAGTCTCTTGAGCAACCTTGGGAAGTGTGTTTGGGGAGCCCTCTCGCAGAACCCTTGCAGGGTTCGCTTTACTGGGCCCTTTGGGGGCCGTATTGGAGCCTCTTGGGCAACCTTGAAAAGTGTGTTGTGTTCTTTCCTTTTTTTTGGGGGGGGGCGTGTGGGTCCTCTCAAGAAACGCTTGACGCGTTGCTTTCCTGTGCCATTTTGGAGCCGCATTGGGGCCCTCTTGGAGCTTGTTGGGCAACCTTGGGAAGTGTTTGTGGGGAGCCCTCTCAGAAAACGCTTGATGGGTAGCTTTCCTTTGCCCTGTTGGAGCCGCATTGGGGCCATCTCAGAGCCACGGCAACCTTGGGAAATGGTTTGGGGGATCCCTCTCACACAAACGCTTGCTGTGTAGCTTGCCTGTGCCCTTTTGGAGCCGTCTTGGGGCCTCTTGGAGGGGTACGCGAAGGAACAATAATTAGCTGCCCCGCTAGCGATGCTGCGAGGGCGTGGAGGGTGAGGCAGTGAGGGGCGGGGGAGGAGTGGGATGGCAAGGGTAAGTAGGCACACGGGGCGAGAGCGATGGCCCAGCGATGTCTCTCAGTGCGCATCGTGTTCGGTGATAGTTCAATCTGGCAACGCCCAACTAGCGCGCCCCGCGCCTGCCCGCAAAGCCACAAAAACCACACGCACTGGCGCCATGCCAAGGCAAGAGAGACGTGGCTGGGGCGACGCGGGGCGCGACACCAAAACTCGGGAGCGAGCTCGGCGGCGAGGTGCCCGAACTCGGGCAGAAATGATCAGGACCGCGAATGGGGACGAGGGGTGTGTAGAAGGGAGACGAGGATGACGAGCAGGAGGAGGGAGAAGGAGGATGCGGATGAGGAGACGGAAGATGATATGGATGAGATCGAGAGTGATGAGGATGAGGATGCGAGGTGCGAGTAGGATGATGAGGATGAGGACGGGGAGGAAACGACAGGTCGGGCGACGCCCGCGAGCGCGAAGCCAGGTAAACCTCACCCTGGCGCGGTGTAGCTAAGCGACCCCCCTATTGCCTCGGCTTTCGCGCAACCGCCGACCCCCCCCCCCCCCAGAGTAAAACATCAGGCAACCGCCTCAGACACAACGAACAACTACATCGTCGAGGGCTGAACAGATGGCCTGGCCCGAGGGGCGGTGACAGCCTGAGAACTCGCTCGATTGCTCCGACATCCCCCCCTCCGCCTCCTCATCGTATTCCTCCTCGCCCCCCACTCGTTTTACTTGGAGCTCGGCGCGCTCATGACCTCGATCGGACATCACGCCTTGGCCCTCTTACTGGGCGGCGCCATGGCTGACGCCGCGCCGCCGCCCCTCTTGCTCGGGACAGGCTCTTGGGCGCGCTCCTGGCGATACAGGGCATCGCCAACCTTGATGGCCCTCTGGTTCCACAACACAGGGACCGTGATCTTATGATCAACAGGTTCCTTGTCGGCTTTATCGCACGTCAAGGACTCATGAATTACGATGGAACTCTGGGTCATATTCGGCGCCTCGCCTACTGGCACGCACCAGTACGGCACGATGCCACTGCTTTTGGGCACCTCCGAGGGGTCAGTCTCGCTGGGGCCCTTGCCGAGGCCCTTGGGGAGCAGAGGGGTTAAGTACGCAACGAGGTCACTCGGGAGGGGCGCGCCAACCACGGGCACGCCCGAAGCTGGGAACTTGCTGGCGACTCCTACGGGTGCCAGCGGGACCAACAACAGCTGACCTTTCGAAGAAGCTCTGTTCGCCACCACCTTGTGGACGGCGAGGCGGGGCCCACACTTAAAAGTCACGGTGCGGTCTACATATTTCAAAAGCGACAGCTAGCTGCGATGCAAACCCTCACGAATCCGAGCCTTCGCGTTGTCGATCATGATGCCACGGCTGTCCTGCGGGGCGACGGGCGTCGACGGGGGCAAGGGCGACTACGACGACGACGACGACGAAGACGACGGCGACGGCGACGGCGACGACGACGACGACGACGCCGACGACGACGACGACGGCGACGACGAAGCCGACGACGACGACGACGACGACGATGACGACGACGACGGCGACGACGACGACGACGACGACCGACCCACCCACCGACCGACCGACCGACCCACCGACCGACCGACCCACCGACCGACCGACTGACCGACCGACCGACCGACCGACCGACGGACGACGACGACGACGACGACGACGACGGCGGCGGCGGCGGCGACGACGGCCGCCGATGGCGGGCGGGGGGAGGCAGGTCGGTCCAGGGCGGTCTCCGAGGTGGCGTTGACCTGCTTGTCGATGAGCACGAGCTTGGGGAGGGCCTGTCGGGGCGGGGGAGGCGGCATCGGCAACCCCGCTGCCCTCATCCTCCCGGGTGCCCTCGTTTTCGGTTTTCGGTTTCGTTCGGTGTTGATCCGTGTTCGGTTTACGTTTTCGCATGCGTTTTCGGTTTCGGTTTCGGTTTCGGTTACGTTTTCGGTTTCGTTTTCGATTTAAGATCATCGTGGTAACCCCTATCCCTATCCCTATCCCTATCCCCCTCCTCCTCCTCCTCCTCATCATCACCCTCCTCCTCCTCCTCCTCCTCATCCTCCTCCTCCTCCTCCTCCTCTCCCCCCCCCTCCTCCTCCTCCTCCTCCTCCTCCTCCTCCTCCTCCGCCTCCTCCTCCTCCTCCGTATCCTCGTCATCCTCCTCCTGCGCATATTCCTCCAAACCGTCTTCATCAGCATCATCCTCATCATCGGTGTCACCAGCGTCGCAATCATAACCATCATGTTCGTAATCGCACTCGCCCTCATGATCGGTGTAGCAGTCACCCTCGTCACCGTCGTCGCCGCAATCATCATCGCTATCGCTATCGCTACCATAACCGACACCATGGTCGTAAACAACATCGCCAACACCAGTCTCGGCGCAACCGTCATCATCGTCATCGTGATCACCATAACCGCCGTTACTGGTATCGCCACCGTCGTCGTCACCATCGACACCGTCATCATGATCATCATGATCATCATCAGCATCATTATCACCGCCATCATCATCATCACCATCATCACCATCATCGGGAGCACGATCACGAACACGACCATGACCATGCACCAATCCCCTCCTCCTCCTCCTCATCATCATCATCATGATCATCACCATCAGCATCATCATCATCATCCTCATCCTCCTCCTCATCATCCTCATCCTCCTCCTCGTAACCTCATCCGCCGCCTCCTCCTCCTCCTCCCCCTCCCTTATCTTCCTCGCGTCTCCTCCTCAGCATACTCCTCCCCATCATCATCCCTCCCCCTCCTCACTCACCCTCCCCCTCATCAAATCCCCTTCCCTCCCCCGCGCCCTGGCCTTGTAGTTGTCGACGAGGGCGCCGCTGGATACCGAGATGGTGCCCTCGAACTCCTCGCCGTCGGACGCCTCGTCGTCCAGCTTCGCCGCCTTGGCGAGCTTGGGCTGCGGCTCCGTCGGCGCCAACTTCACCGTCGCGCCGTCGACCTTCTAGATGACGTACCTGGTGTACGGCGCATCCTCCTTATTCTTGGGCTGCACCTCGCGCCCCACCTCGAAACCCTGCTGGGCGATTGTATCCTTGTCGAGCTGGCCCTGCACGAATGTCCCCATGGCGGCCTCCGTCTTCGAGGCGGCCTTCGAGGCGGAAGCCTTCGGCGCCGCCTGGACGTAGTCCCACGGGGGGGCGACCTTGCCCACCGTAGGAGACGCCGCCAGCACCGTAGCGATGAACTCGCTGCCGACCTCGTCGATGGTGTTGAAGCTGAGCCTGCTCCTCGCCTTCTTGCCGAGGATCGTCATCACCGAGCGCACCTCGAAGTCGCCGAGGGCCTTGTTCAGGTCGCAAGCGCGCTCGCACACATCATCACGGCGGAGTAAGTCCGCCACCCACTTCTTCGCAGCACGACACATGGTCACAAACTTGGCCACCGACGCCTTGTTGCTGCCGTGGACCGAACCTATGTCGGAGCTGGATACGAGCTTCGAGGCGCCGTTGTCGACGTAGCTGTCGGGCGCCACGAGAGAGGCCTTCAGGATGGCCAACGGCCACTCGGGGCCACTCGCGTACTCGAGGTCGGCCAGGAATTTGACCGTCTGGCTCGATACGGTTCTCCGAGAGGTCAACGTCTTGCTCCAATTGTTCAAGTCGATGATGCATGGTGAATCCTCGCCACCGCTCCACCGAGCGGCGAAGTCGCAGAGCGGCTGCACCATAGTCAAGGTGGGGGTTGCTCCGCTCCATTTGCTTGGCGATGGCGCTCCAGCGATAGCTGCCCGTGCGCTTGTAATTCTGGACGGCCTTGCTATGGATGGCCATGAGGGCCTGGATCTGGGTCTTCTGCCGTTCGGCCCCGTGGACCGCATTGAGCCCCTCTTGCACAAAGTCGGCCAACAACGGGAAAGCGGTGTGCACCTCATGACGGATGACCGTCCACATCAATCCATTGTCGAGCGCGTCCTGGATCTGCGGGCAGACCGCCAAAACCTTGACCGCGGAGGGCACTCAGGCGACCCCGAGCCGAACCGCCCGACCGCCACGCCCTCCACGAAGAAGGGTGTGGGGTGGGGACAACGGGGCAGATCAGATAGATCGTCGTCGTCGTCGTCGTCGTCGCCGACGTCGTCGTCGTCGTCGTCGTCGTCGTCGTCGTCGTCGTCGTCGCCGACGTCGTCGTCGTCGTCGTCGTCGTCGTCGTCGTCGTCGTCGTCGTCGTCGTCGTCGTCGTCGTCGTCACGACGCGGGCGAGGGGTTGGGGGCGAGTCGGCCCAGGGCCCCCCGAAGGCCGACCAGGCCTTCTCGCGCGACAGCCTCCCGTCGACGCAGAGGTCCGTGAGGAAAGAGTTGCAAGACTCGTTCACGGCGCCGAGCGCGTGGACCGCGCGCGTGCAGCCCACGGCCGAAACCCTGCAGTTGGCGACGTCCACGGCGGGAAGCATGCCAGCGGCGCTCTGCGCCAGATCAAGGTTGAACTGGACCTCGAAGGCTGGGTCGGGCGGGAGTTCGAAGCACACCGCGTCCACTGTCTTTGAGTAGGACCAGCCAGCGCCCCAAATGCGCTCCAACAAGCTGTGGACGTCATATGGGTCGACGCCTTGGCCGTCGCGATTCAACGGGTTCGCGATGACCCGACGGTTCGGCATCCGTTCCGTGTAAGCCAAGTTCGCCTGCTTCAAGGCGCCGATGATCTCGTCGGTCCTTGATTTCATCTGGGCGCCCGAGCCATCGGGCGCGCTGGTGCCGAGCATCCGCTCCACGAATGGCCGAACCTGTTCGATGGACGCCTCGATCGTGGAGCCAGCCATCTCCACTGCGCGATCCGAGGAAGTTCGAACGTGAAAGAGCTTCGAAGTACCTTGGGAGGCTGGAGCTTGAGCCAAAAAGGCTATGATCATTATCCTGATCATCCTCGTCAGCCTCTTAGTTGTTATCATACATCCCCCTCCTATCTTCCCTCCCCATCACCCTCTTCCCTCCCTCATCATTATCATTATCTTCACCCTCCCCCATCCAACCCCTCTTTCCAAGCAACCGAAACCCTCGTCCCCAATCGGTTTTCCGAAGATCCCATCGTTATCGACCTGAGATTGCCTCGCTGTAAGCGCCATGTGCTTTTCGCGTTCGCTGAACGATGGCACCGAAGTTCAATTTCGAAGGACTGAGCTCGAAAAACTCGAATCGGCGATGTCGAAATCAATACGCTGGCATCGATGTTCGGAAACTTATAAATAGGATACGAGCTCCGCCAACTCAGGTTAGAAAACCTGCGCATCCAGCTTGTGAGGTTATGTCAAGTAACTTCTGATCTTGATTCCGAACCCAGCAACTCCCCGAACCCGAATGCTAACCGCCGTAAACAGTTGGGGGAGGTTTACACAACAATCAAACCAGTTGACCACCTTATAACTTAAGTTGGGGACATTATAACCTACCTTATGACCTACATACGGTAACTTACAACCGACCCAACCACTTACCAACCACCGTGGGGATTCAAGAAGACGGCCCCAGATGCCCCGAAGATTGCCCCAAGATGGCCCAAGAGGCCTCAAGAGAGCCCCCAAATGACCCAAGAGAGCCTCAAGACCGCCCAAGATGCCTCCAATATGGCTCCAGAAGCTCCCCAAACGGCTCCAACAGGGTGCCCAGACGGGGGGCCCGACGAGCCCTCGGCGACAGAGGCTCCCAGGAAACCCCAAGATGCCCCCAAGAGGCCACCACGAGACCCCCAAGGGGCCCCCAGGAAACCCCAAGAGGCCCCCCCCGCCACATTAGAGAACGCATGGGTCGCCCTCCAGGGTCGGCGGCACCGGCCGTAAGGCCTTCGCAATAGCTCTCTGGAAGGTCAGGGAAAGGCGCCCCTCGCCCAGAGAGGAACAAGGCGCTGCAGACACACGCAATCTCTCGGAGGTCCGCGCGGATTTCCTGGATCGGCGCTGGTGGCCTCACTGTCGCGCGGAGCGCGCCAGACCAAAACGCCGACCCCTGGCGCTGCAGCACCGCTCGGGGGTTGCTCCAAGGCGCCCCTGGCCCAGAGAGGAGAAGGAGATGGACGAGGAGGAGGAAGAGGGGGCTGATGAGGAGGAGGAGGAGGAGGAGGAGGAGGAAGAGGCCGTAGCAATTTTGGCTCAAGTCTCACGGAGCTAACCTCCCGTGGGTCCCGACTCCCGAGGCTCGAGGTCGAGGGGAAGGGCAGCCCCTTTCGAGGCCTGGCTCCTCGGCCAGATTTTAGCTTTCACGGTGTGAACTCCTTCTGGAGCATTCCTTCTCCGCATTCGCTCCTGAGGGAGCAAGGAGACTTGATCAGCATTTGGCTCATGGGCACAGATGACCGCACAGTCCTCAAGGGGCCGAAAACCCCGCACTGGGGATGTGGGCAATGTGGTAGGTCGGCAAACTGGGCCTCGCGCGTCAAATGCGCATGTGGAGCCTCGGCGCCGAGATCAACAGTGGACAAGGCAAAGGCGGCAGACAAGGCGGCCGGGGGTAAAGGGGGCAATGGCGGAGCCCCTGCGTCGGGACCCTGGGTTGCCAAGTTTGAAGCTCAAGCTAAGCCGATTGCGGCTCTCTCGTCCAAGCTCGACAAGCTACCCACAGCAGGGGGCAAAGGGCCTCGCCAGCAAGGGCAGGGCCAGGATGCGGGTGGCAAATCGGAGAAGGATCTGGAAGCCGACCAGCATCGTGAGCGGATTGAGAAGCTTACGGGGGCGATCCAGAACTTGGGCGCGGATAAGGACCAGGCGCTCATCGAGAGCCTCATGTCCAAGGTCCAAGAGGCGAGGAAGCAGCTGCAGGGGCTCAAGCCACAGCTCACGCAGTACACGAACGCGGGCCATGTGTTGTCGGAGCTGGAGAGAAAGAAATCGCAGGCTCAGCAGCGCAGGGCAGAGCAAGAGAAGACAATCGAAGCAGCCAAAGCCGAGATCGTCAAGCAGAATGGGATCATCACGAAGTTGGACGCGGATATCGCGCAGACGAAGCGCAACTTGGCCTCGACGACCCCCGACGACATCTTCTTCGACTGCCATGAGGAGTTCGCGAGCGACGCCGAGGTCACGGCCACGCTTGCGTCCGATCCCTGGAAGCGGTGCTGTGGGCATGGGTGGTGGGGGCCCAAGCTCCTCCTCCTGCTGGCATGGGTGGTGGGGGCGCAAGCTTCGTCGACTTCGAATCCGCGGACCTCGACGCCTTGTGGGAGAACTGCAAGGGAGAGAAGAGGAACCTCGGCAAGCAGCTCAGGGCAATGGGGTTCAAGCGTGCGCGTGTGGGGTAGCAGTGCCGACCAGTGGTTATCTGTGGTGCGTGGTCAGGTGGACCCCACTGCAGACGACCCCACGGAGTGGTTTGATGCAGACGATGGAAGCCAGGGCCAGGTGGGCCCTCCGCCGAACAACATCTTCGATAGCCAGGTGGGCTCAGGAGAAGATTTCTTGTTTGATGTGTATCCCTTTGGTTGCTGGAAGGAGAAGTGGGTGGAGGTGCCAGGGCCAGGTCAACCTACGTGGTGTGCGGCGCCGACGGCAACCCCAGGGAGCTCGGAGCCGTGCTTGGGGTCCAGTTCCTCATCCTCCCAGATGCCATATTCACCCCTCCCTATGAGAGGGGGGCAGGGAGCACGCGAGGAGTTCTGTTGGGGCCAGAAGCGTGTTCCGCGCAGGTGGGGGCTCCAGGTGCTGGGACCAGCGAAGGGCAGCACGCTGTTTCAGGAAACGTTCCTGCGTCTTTCGCTCGGAACCGAAGGGATGCAAGGGGCTTCAATTTCTACTTTGCCAATATCACTAGCTTTCGTGACAAGGCCAAGGACCAGTTCACTGCTTGGACTGAAACTCTCTAACTTCCCCTGCCGATGACAGCTCTTGGGCCCCACAGCTCGTGGGCATCGTTGAGCACCGCCTGATGGGGCCCAAGGTCACGGAGGCCAGCAAGAAGCCTGTGAAGCAGGGGTGGAAGGGCTCGCTGGTGCGGGCACAGAGCACGATCATTGGAGGTCGGCAAAGGCATGGTGGAATTGGTGTGGTTTCGCGCTCGCATCTCCACACGGTGGCGCCCACGGATGAACAGAAGTTACTCCTCCCGGAGCAGACGCCAGCGCTGCCCGGCCAGCGGGCGGTCCAGCGGGTGCGCTTCAATGGAGTCGACGTCGCGTTCGTGGCGGCGTACTTCGTTGCGGGCGTTGGGATGGGGAAGCCGAATCTAAGCATGCTCGCGGAGATCGGCGGCTACCTGCGCTTGCGTGTGCAGCCGTTCATCATCATGGCCGATTGGAACATGACGTTGGACGAGATTGGGCCCGCGTGCTTTGACCGTTACGTACAAGGTGAGTGGGTTTCAGCTGGAGACCACCCCAGTGGCGAGAAACTGATTGACTACATGTTGGTGTCAACATCTCTTCGACACGCTGTTAAGCTCTCCTGAGAAGACACCCCCCCGTGGGCGGCCCCGCACATCGGCATCAGGGGCAGGCTCTGGAAGGAAGGGATGGTGCTCAAGCAGAGGATTGCCAAGGCCCCTCTCCCGCTCGCGCCGTTCATGATGGGGCCAGATCGGCCTTGGGTCGCGCACGGCGCCGAGATCGCGGACCTGGTTCTCGACGGCACGCAGCGCGAGGGGCTCCAGACGCTGGAGGGGCAGGAGAAGCAGGTCAGCGAGAGTTACATGAGGTTTGCGCTCACGGCGGAGCACCTGCTGCTGGAGAGGGAGGCGGGCCACGGCACGCGGACCTTCTCGGTGGCCAAGCGGGGCTTCATGACCGAGATTCAGGACGTGCTGGTCGTCCCCCCTGAGCCTCAGGGGTGGGTGGCCAAGTCCTCGGGGGTTGCCAAGTGGGGGGCCCTTGAGGGGCGCCTCATTGAGTTCTCGGGGATGCTTTAAAAGGATCGTGCCATTCACCTTAAAAGGCGAGGATGGGATAGCCTGCAGAGACAAGTGAGCAGGTGCCAGTATGTAGGATGTGTGCTTCCAGATGACGCCGAATCCAAGTTTTTAGACCAAGTTCGGAGTTTTCCCTTCCTGGGGAAGGAGGACCACGCCAGGGCCCAGAAACTGTTGGACGAGCGCCGCAGGCTGGTTCGTAGGATCGAGCGTCACCACGGGAGTGAAGCTTCCAAGGGGTTTAAAGAGTGGGTCCTGGAAAGTTTGCAGAAGGGGCGGGGGCGGTCCACAGGTGGACCTTGACGTGGGGAAAGCCCAGACCTGCCCTCGCCCCCGAACGTGGTCCTGAGGGGGAGTTGTTGGTGGATCCCCGTCGCGTGACCGCCTCCAAGGCGGGAGGCGCTTTGGTGTCCGAGCCTTGGGAACCAGGGGCCCCCTCAGGACCAGGACTGGTGGCCTGAGTTTCGGAGATGTGCGGCAGAAGCTCGGGACGAGCTCCGGCCGCTCGCAATGGCAGATTTAGAGACGGCGCTGTCGAGATTCAGAAGTGTCATCGGGATGGGCCCGGGTTGCCAGAGTCCCAAGCTGTGGGCACAGCTCCCCTTGGAGGGTCGGCAGGAATTGCTGATGCTCCTCCACCAGGTTGAAGAATCTTTGACCTGGCCTAGGAAGGTTAGAGACAATGTAGTCCAGCTGCAGCATAAATCAGACGTGGCCGATCGGCCCATCACGCTTACTCAGGGCCTCTACCGCTGTTGGTCCGTGATGAGGAGGGATGGGGTGTCGCGTTGGGCGGTTGGAGAGGGGGGGGGGCTCGCTTCTGGGACAAGGCGGTCAGAGGTAGTTCGGCCCTCAGAGCGGCGATCGCTCGCCAGCTCCAGCTCGAGGTTTCCACCATCCAGGTGTTTTCCTGGGCGGAGATCCTGTGGGACCT